TGGGGTTCGGGGGATTGATGTATCCTTGCCGGGGCCATGCCTCTTTGAGGAGTCGTTGGAGGTGGCACGTACATTGAATTGACACAGCGTCGTCGTCGTCACCGTCGTCGTCGTTGTCGTTGTCGTTGTCGTTGTCGTTGTCGTTGTTGTTGTTGTTGCTGTTGCTGTTGTTGTTGTTTTTGTTGTTGTTGTTGTTGAACATTATTACTTCTAAAGAATAATTATTGTTGGGCCCCCTGGTGCACGCCCCCCCCGCCGCGCCTAGGCCGCAGCCACATTTTCATCATTTTCGTGAGGAAGCCTCAGGTAAAACGATGTGATCCAGATCCGGTTGTTTTGTTGTAATCCGTTTTCCCTTGCAAAAAACACTATAAAATGACATTTCTTGTTCTAATATAATCAAATTTCAAGAATCCCTTGCAAAAAATAAGGTAAAGTGGACATTCGCGCGCGCAAGACGAAATCCTTCCAAAAGCTTAGTGTTCGTAGCGATTTTAACATAAAAACATCAAAAAACCAATGGTTTTTCAACAAAAAAATGTCAAAATTTCATCCCGCGCGCTCTTGCGGATTCGTAGGAAACCCAACACTTTTTAAACATTTCTGTCAAACGGGCTTTTGCGAGCAACTTTTTCGAACTTCTGCAACAACGGTTGCGCACCTGCCAGGGCCATCATCCCTGTCAAATAATACCATGCGGGACACATTCGTTTTTTCTTCGCGCGCGCACGCCGTCGTCGTCGGCCGCGGGGCCCTGAATAGTAGCCACGGTCGTCCGCATGCCACGAAGTGAAGTGTCCGAACGTCATAGGGCGGGAAGCTGGGTGTGGGTGGTGGCGAAGAGTCGTTTGGAAATTTGGTAGAGCTTGAACCGGCCCCCCCACAAAGTGGGGGTATTGCCCGCCTCCTATGAAAACCCTGGCACTGGTGAGAACGGAGTGTCCCCAGTCTTAAATGATTGTTGTTGTTGTTGTTGTTGATGTTGTTGTTGTTGTTGAATCTCATGTCTGAAGAATAATTATTGTTGATCCCCCCCACTGGTGCATACGGTTTTTTCTCAATCAAAGTGTGCCCTTCGACGCTCGCACCCTGTTTTTTACAGGGAAAGTCTTCCTGCTCAAACTAGGCCCCTGGCCCCCGGGTTACAAGAACAACGGCTCCCGCCTGAGACGTCCTTACAGTTTAGCCAGGACCCCCGCTCCCGCCCGAGACTGACTCGCATTTTATTCAGGAGTCGCTCTCCCGGCGCTCTGGAGTCGCGCTCTCGCTGCAGACTTACTTGCAACTTACTGAAGAATGGCCTTGCGTTGGAATTTCCTGCAATTTGCCCAAGCGCCGCGCTCCCGACACCCAGGCACCCAGGAGTCGCACCCATTGTGGCCCCATGGGTATGCCCTTCGTGGCCCCGCTGTTGCCATTTGTGTCCCCCTCACTGTTCTACGTGGCCCAGTTGCTACCCTCAGTGGCCCCATAGTTGCCTTCTGTGGCCCCGCATTATCTGCGCTTCGTGGCCCCCGCTCGTTCGCGCTCTTCGTGGCCCCATACGCATTCCCTTCGTGTCCCCGCTGTCGCCCTTCGTGGCCTACTTCGTGCTCTTCGTGGCCCTGCCGTCGTTCTCTCTCGCTCTCGCTTTCGCTCGTCGTCGCCGTCGTCGTCGTCGCCGTCGTCTTCGACGTCGTCGTCGTCGTCGTCGTCGTCGTCGTGGTCGGTCCCCTGTCCGTCCAACTTGGGGTCGGGTCGACGGTCCGCGGCCGCCCCGCCGATCAGCGCTGCCGCTGGCCAGGCCGACGGTCCGCGGCCGCCCCGCCGCTTGCCGGGGCCCGGCCTGCAGGGAAGAAAGGTATACCCCCCAAAAGGGGTTCGATCGAAGGCGAAGAGGGCGGGTATCGACGGTTTGGGAAATACGCGGTATTGGACACTCGAGCATATAAGTGCGAACGATCTTAACATTAGTATTGTTGTTGTTGTTGTTGTTGTTGTTGTTGTTGTTGTTGTTGTTGTTGTTGTTGTTGTTGCTGTTCATGTTGTTGTTCATGGCGTTGTCATGGTTATTAGTATTAGTAATGTTGTTGTTATTGTTGCTGTCGTTGAATGTTAGGTACTAAACAATGATTATTCTTGGGCCCCTTCAAGGCGCCCTGGAGCTCTCGCAGACGCGCCGGCTACATTTGCATGGAAAATGAGGCTCACGCTCGAGCGTTTTGGGGGACCGCCAAAACCGGCCCCCCAACAACAACAACAACGCTCCCGCTCGAGACGTCCTCCTTTTTTACTCAGCGCTGGTGTTTTTTGCTCGCCGCCGAAAGCCGCCGTCCTAACAAAACAAGCGCTCCCCCTCGAGACGTGCCCCGTTTTACCTTGGACTGGCGCGCTAGTCTTTCTCTTATCGGCGCCGCCCCCAGCACACGCTCCCGCTCGAGGCAGCCTCCCTTTTTTGTTGAAGGCGGTGCTGTTCTTCGCCGCCGAACACCGCCGCCCCGACGAAACCAGCGGTCCCGCCCGAGACTTCCTTCCGTTTTACCCAGGGCTGGCGCCCAACTCATTTTTGAATTGGCACCGCTCCCAGCAAAAACAACGCTCCCGCTCGAGGCTTCCTCCCTTTTTCCTGAAGACGGTGCTGTTCCTCGCCGCCGACAACCCCCGTCCCGACAAAACCACGGCTCCCGCTCGAGGCGTCCTCCCTTCTTACTCAAGGTGGTGTTCCTCGCCGTCGAAAACCGCCGCCCCGACAAAACCAGCGCTCCCGCCCGAGACTTCCTTCCGTTTTACGCTGGATTGGCGCCCTACTCTCTGTTGAATTGGTGCCGCTCCCAGCAAGAACAACGCTCCTGCTCGAGATTTCCTTTCTGTTTCCTCGGGACGGTGCTGTTCCTCGCCGCGGACAGCCCCCGTCCCGACAAATCCGCGGCTCCCGCTCGATGCTACCTCCTCTCTGACTCAAGACGGTGTTCCTCCTCGCCGCCGAAAGCCGCCGTCCCAACAAAACCAGCGTTCCCGCTCGAAACGTCGCTTTGTTTTACGCTGGACTAGCGCCTTACTCTCTTCAGCATTGGCGCCGCTCCCAGCAACAACAGCAGTCCTGCTCTTCCCCCATTTCTATTCAGGGCCAGGTGCTTGCCTCATTGCCGACAGCCCCCGTCATCACTAAGGCAATCCTGTCGTTCGATACTTCCTTGTGCTTTACCCTTCGCTGGGGTTCCACCGGCGGTCTCGCATCGGCGCAGCAAGGCGAAAGCATGTGTTTTCGAGGCGGGATATGTTGAAATTCCTCGGGGGAGGTGTTTGCAAGACCTCATTGGGCGGGAGATCTGGGAATGGGAATAACGGACACCGCTATAGAACAAGAGTCCCCCGTGATGTGGATGGTTATCATGATGGTCGCACGCTTCGTGTGGAAACATCGCGCACGAGGGTAAACTGTTTGGTTTGTTGTTGTTGTTGTTGTTGTTGTTGTTGTTGTTGTTGTTGTTGTTGTTGTTGTTGTTGTGTTTGTTGTCGTCGTCGTCGTCGTCGTCATTGCCGCCGTCGCCGTCGACGTCGCAGGGATGACGGGGCATGCAAATATAATCGTTGCATGGCGTCTCGTAACCATGTGCTCCCCCCTCGCCACGTCGTTGTCGTCGTCGCCGTCGTCGTCGTAGTAGTGGTCGTGGTCGTCGTCGTCGTCAACTTCGTCGTCGTCGTGGTCGTCGTCGTCGTCGTCGTCGTCGTTCGTCGTCGTCGTTGTCGTTCGTCGTCGTCGCTGGCTAACATGGTTTGATCACAACGTGCCATCATTATTCGGCATCGCCAACGGTCAGCATAACGTCATCATAACCACCATCGCCATCAACATCATCACCATAATCATCATGATCATCATCAGCATTACCATCATTGCAACCATCCTGGGCGCCATTGCGCCACTGCCGCCGCCGCAGGAGGAGGACTGAGGTGGTAAGGGGGGGGGCGCCTCCGCTGAGTTGACAAGTCTGAGCGTCGAGTGGCGCTTGATCCTAGAGTGACGAGTCCTATCATCACCACCGTCATCATCAGCATCATCGAAAGGGACAGCACTTTCGCCACCTCCTGGCCTCCCCGAGGGGGTTGGCGGGAAGAGACTCTCTACACTTGACCCGCACAGTAAGGATGAGCGACGTTCCAAGGCTGACCTTGCATCCTCGCGCCTCGCCCGCCAGGTGCCGACGTGGCCTTCCAAGACCCTTGCATCCTTATCGTGCGCCCTTACAGTCCACGCGCATAGTAAGAACGCGCGCCTCTTCTAGTGCACCCCTGTGCCCTCCCCTCTGCGGCCCGTCATTTGCCGTTTCCATTGGGGTGTTGGACGCCCGCCGCCCAAACAGATTCCAACTTCAGCCTACAAGGGTCTTGCGTCCTTATCACCCGTCCTCATCATACGTGTTCGCTGTGCTACGGGCTGACTGTAGCTCTCGCCCCGGCGCCTGGCCGCCCGGGGGGACGGCCCTGGCCGCGGGGACGTCGCCGTCGGCGCCTCGTATTCGTCGTCCGAGGAACGAGAGGTTTTTTTGGGGGGGATGCAGAGGTTTCTGGGTTTCTGTATGCCCTTGGTGTGAACCTCGGAGAGCATCGGGAAGTGTCTGGGCGAGTCCCACACGTCATCTGTTTCTCTCTCCCTCTCTCTCTCTCTTTTTGTTGTTTCTCTCTCTCTTTCTCTCTATATGTTCCGTCTCTACTTGCCCTATCTCTGCCCCTCTCTCTCTCTCTCGCTCCTTCTGTCCTTCTGTTGTGTGTCCTGATTGGTCAGCGTCTCTCTGTCTCTCTCTCTCTCTCGCTGTCTGTCTGCCTGTCTCTCTCCCTCCGTCCCTCATCCTCTCATTCTCTCATTTTAGCTGTCTCTATCTCTTTATTTACTAATTTCTCCGTTTTGATTTTTTTGTTTCTCTCTCTCTCTCTCTCCTTCTCTCTATCTCTTTCTCTCCTCTCTCTCTCCTCCTTCCTCCCTCTGTTCCTGTCTTGCACTGCGCGCGCTCCTCGGTCAGGCGGAGCAGAAGGCGCTGCAGAAAAGGCTGGGCGACAGGCCGTCTTCCTCATCGAAGGGTGCCAGAGGAGGGCAATGGGGAGAGGGGTGTTGGGGAGCACATTTCAGTGGGGGAGGGGGGGAATAGGTAGAAATGATGGATGACGACTGGAGAAGGTGGGGGGAGGGGGGAAGCAGGGAGGGGGCGGAAGGGGTGAAAGAAGGGGGCGGAAGACGGGGGGGAAGGAGGGTTCTTTCTATTCACTCCTGCCTCCCTCTCCTCCCTCCTGGGGCTCCTTTGCACGCCGCAGAACTCTCCGAGCCCTACGCAGCCCTACGCCTTCGTTCTCCCTCCTCTTCCTTCCTCCTATTCCTCCTATTCCTCCTCTTCCTTCTCTTCCCTCCTATTCCTCCTCCTCCTCCTCCTCCTCCTCCTCCTGCTATTCCTCCTATTCCTCCTATTCCTCCTATTCCTCTCTCCCTCCTCTTCCCTCCTCCTATTCCTTCCTCCTCCTCCTCCTTCCCTCCTTCCCTGCGCAGCCACTCTCAGTCAAGCCTTCCCCCCCCCCCGCCGGCCGCGCGGTGCGCGGGGGGCCGAGCACGGCGCCTCCGCGAGCGGCGCGGGGCCACCGCGGCGTGAATCAGGCCCAGCTCTCTGGGCCGTGCCCCACATCGCCACGGCGACGCTCCTGCCCCCCCCGGAACCGGGGAGGGCGGCTCCTCGACGATTCAAGCCGACAAGGTCCTCGACGATCTGTCCATGCCACGGCTCTCGATGCAAGCTGACAGTCTTACAGGAAGTGAGCTGGTGTTTAGAGCCTGTCACAGCTCAGCTTGTGGCTAAACTGGCTGCGGTGAGCGGCACAGGGAAGACAGCGCGCCTCCCCTGCCGCCCCTTCCTCCCCCTCTTTCGGGTGTTGCTAGAAGTGTCCCTGGCCCAATATGCCCCCAGCTGCTCTACTTTGGAGCCCCCTGGGACCACCTTGGCCTCGCGAGGGGTGATCTGGAGGCCGTGGGGGCCTCCTTGGAAATCCCGAGGGCACCTCGGACCAGGGGCGCTGCTGGCAGCACCCGACTCTTCTCCCCTCCTCTCCATCCCCTCTGCACCCCCATCCCGCCCCTCGTCGCAGGCATAGAGGTGGACATCAACACCAATATCGGCGGTGTGCCTCCACCGAGGGAAGAAGATCCCGATCTCGGTGATGGTGGTAATATTCTGGCTTCCAAGGTGACCGACGTATTACCACCAGCACCGACATCTAGGATCATGTTCCCCGTGTGGAGGCAGCCCCCTGTCTTGGCGCTGGTACCCATATCCAGGCCTCCAGCCCCCGCCCCCCGCACCCGCCTCGGCGCGCGGCGCCGCCCGCGGCCGAGAGGCCCGCGCCCTCGCTCGGGCTCTGCGGGGCTCGCCCCCGCCGCGCGCGCGCCGCCTGCGCGCGCCCCCACCCGCCACGTCTTCCTCTCGGGTGCACCCGCATCGCAGACGTGATGTCGTCGAGGCAAGCTCTTGAGGGGAGAGAACCCGTACACCAGTCAAATACTCCGACGGGGAGGCCGTTCCTCTCCCACCAGCCGAGCAGCGGGCTGTGCTGGCAGCCCTGCAGGCTCGCTAGCACTGGACGTTTGTCCTCGGTGAGCTGCGGTGCGCCATCGGGGAGATCGCAAACAAGCAACGGTCTTCTGTCGGGCCTGTCCCTCCACAGGAGGCATATTCAAACGTAGTCACCAAAAATAGTCAGGGGACGATTTCTGAGTATGTTTTGACTATTTTGGGGTACGTTTTGACTATTTTGTACCTTTCGTCCAAGATTCGCCTGTGGGGGGACGTGCCCGACCTACTGCAAACAGGTTCTCTCCTTGGCGGCCCCGTGGTGCTGGTCACGGCGTCGACAGTGCTCGTTCTCACGCTCAGCGCTGCGCAGATACGCACACGGTCCCAACCATTCAGCCGTACCCGCCTGAGACGGACTAACCTGCAGAAGCCAATCCGCAAGTCTGCGCGTCAAGCGAGCGCTTGGGCGTCTGGGTTCCGACAATATTTCAACGGACTCCAGGGATGCCGATGCCCGCCAGCTGGATGCAATGGTGTGCCCTTGTGAAGGCCACATCCCTCGGAGACGAGATATTCCAACTTGTCTTCGCGCATTTCACAGTACATGGTCTACTAGCAGCATGCCTTGGACCGATTGTTCCACGAGTTGCGCCACTCCGCTTGCAGCGTACTGCCTGACCGCGATGAGGTGGGAGAATGTCTCACGCCTGCTTGCGGCAGATGGAGGCGCAAGAAGGTGCCACGGCGGCCTCTGAGACGGGCAGCCAGCGTTCAGGATGGGTAGCCAGCGACGGCGGCTGGCTGCCCAGGGTGGCCGAGCGACCTCGGGCAGCCAGGGAGGTGGCTCGGCCACCCCGTCACAGACGGCGCCCCGTGACCCCACGGCGTCCGAGCTCCTGCTGGCCTCCACCGGTTCCTGCTCCGGTGTGGCGTCCTGCGTCGCCTCGCCACAGACGGTGTCCTCGCCATCTGCTCCGCACGAGCAGCAGGCGGATGCGCAGGGGAAGGGGGAGGGGGAGGGGGAGGAGGAGGGGGAGGAGGAGGGGGAGGAGGAGAGGAGGAGGAGGAGAGGAGGAGGACAAGGAGGAGCGGAGAGGAGGAGGAGGGAGGAGGAGGAGGAGGAGGAGGAGGAAGAGGAGGAGAGGAGGGGGAGGAGGAGGAGGAGGAGGAGGAGGGAGGAGGAGGGGGGGAGGAGGGGGAGGAGGAGGAGGAGGAGGGGGGACGAGGAGGAGGAGGATGCGCCGGGGGGTGCCGCGGAAGCTTTCGGCACGGGCGGTCGGAGACACCTCGGGCCTGCCGTGCGCCGCCCGCGCCCCGCCTGCCGACCTGCGCGTACGCGGCCCGCCCAGGGGGCGAGCGCTCCTCCTCCTCCTCCTCGGCCCTTCTCCGCCATTTTGTTCTCACTTCTGCCATCCTCGATCTGCTCGTCGTCGTCGTCCTCCTCCTCCTCCTTCTCCTCCATGCTTTTTATCCTCCTCCATTATTTTTATCCTCCATCCTCCGTCACCTGCCCTCTCGGCGCGTCTTCCCATGTGCTCGCTGCTCCTGCTCCGCCTCCCCCCTCCTTCCTCAACCTCCGTCCTCCTTCATTGCCTTCCTCCCTCTCCTCTCCTCTCCTCGCTGCTCCATCCTCTTCTTCCCCTCCTCCTGTTCCTCCTTCATCCTTCCTTTTCCACCTCCTCTCCCCCTCCTCCCTCCTCCCTTTTCCCTCCCCATCCCACACCAATATCGGCTCACACAATCCGTGCTAGGTCAACAACCTCGTTTCGTGACTGCGTGGCGAAGCCGTACTCCGAGAGGGTTGTATGGAATCCGCGCCAAGATGCAGCAAGCTAGCTGGAACCTCACGGCGCAAATTGCATTGGCCGATCGGCACCCCATGGGGCACGCAGCCCCTTTCTTTGGGGACCGATGTGCTCGTGCGACGTCCCTTGCGATCCGCAACCTCCCACAAACGAGTCCCAGGCCCTGAGCCTGAGGACGCTCCCGCAGCCGCGACGGTGGAGTGTTGCTGAAGGAATGCGAAGTAACCTTGGACCCAGAACGCTATCCGATCGCCATCCTCAGCGAAACCAGTGTGCACTTGCACCGGTGATCCGCGCGGATCCCCGGTGCATTAGCACCTCGCGCCTGGCGCTCGGCTGCTAGGTGGTGCATCTTCGGGCATGCTGGACCACAGGCATCCCGCCTCCAGGCGATGCGGCTCGACGTGGAGCCAGATTTTCTGCACGCTGACGCCGCCGAGGCATCGCCGACGTCGCCGATGCATCGCCGGATGCGTCGCCGATGCATTGGCGGTGCACCGGGCATGCGGTGCAATCTCCTCCGACCCCATCCGCTCGGACCCCACCTGGGAGGCCTGGACTGCCTGCACGTGAGCGGCACGTCTGCGACGCGGGTGCACCCGAGAGGAAGACGTGGCGGGCGAGGGCGCGCATGGCGGGCGCGCGCGCGGCGGGGGCGAGCCCAGCAGAGTCCGATCGAGGGCGCGGGCCTCTCGGCCGCGGGCGGCGCCGCTCGCGGCGCCGCACGCCGAGGCGGGTGCCAGGGGTAGGGGGCCACATGCGAACCCCACCCCTACCCCCCACGATTTCTGAGGGAGAGGGTGGGGTTGACTTCGCTCGTGAGCTCCCGAACGAAGTGAACCCCACCCTCCCCCTCCGAAATCGTGGGGGGTAGGGGTGGGGTTCGCATGTGGCCCCCTAAGGGGCGGGTGGGGCTCCGCCCAACGGTAGGGCGCCCCCCGCCGTCGGCCCCGGCGCGGGGTCGGGCAGAGCCTGCCCGGTGGGGCGCGGCGCCTCCGTTTTAAGTCGGGCCTGTCCCTCGACAGGGGGAATCTCCAAAGAGAGTCAAAACATAGTCAGGGGACTATGTTTTGAGTATTTTTGTGAATCTTTTGAGCATTTTTGAATATTTTTTATTTTTCGGTCGAAAATCCCCCTGTAGGGGGACAGGCCCGACTGAACGCCTCTGCTGGGCGGCGCGGTCGCCAGTTCGCCGAGGCCTCTGGCACGAGATGGCACCTCCTCAGTCGTCGGCCGTTGACAGTTCCCCAGGCAGTGCTTGCACTGACGGGGTCCCAGCGGAAGTTGAAAGATTTGGCGAACCTTTCCCGCCGATTTTGGTAGCAGGCTGGGTTCCCGGGTTCCTGGTGAATTACGGGTTCCCGGGTTCCTGTTTATTGGTTCTGGGTCGATTTCGGTGGCCCGGGTTCCTGGGTTCCCGGTCGATCTCCTCAGCGAAAACCATCCATTGATTGGGGTTTCTCTCTGGTGTAACCGGTATTTTGGGACTCCCAGATCCCAAGCTATTTCGAGCGCCTTCCTGCTTCAAGAGTCGACATGCTCCTGTTGCGTGTTCGTTCTTCCCTGGGAGGCCTGGACCAAATCTGCTCCAGCCGCCCCCCTGCTTCGTGTCTTTACCTGCTTCTTCCGACCGACGTGTGCTCTTGAAGGCGTCGACGGCGGACGAGTCCCAGCTCCTGAGAGGGTGCGTCTCTTCAGCT